AAAAAAAAGTCAAAAACGCTTTGTCACCCTTTAATTCGATAACAATAATAACGAGACTGTCTGTCAATTTTTAACAACCAATGCCCAGCTACAATACGTACAGACTCTGATAAACATATACTCCGGGGGAAAAATCGAACCCACTACCTCTTGGCTTAACAGTACGATCTCTAAACATTAGATCAAGAGCCGATTGCTAAAATCGGTATTTTTTTTTACTGTGATTTATGCATTACATTTACACAAAATTCCAAATAAAGAAATTACTAATTTGGTACTAACGGCGCCTACTGGACTTTTTCCCTGGCCTCACTAATGGAGTCATAATTTCAAGAAACCAAAAATACCCTTTCCTCGGGATTCCAAACTTACTTCATCATAGCTGCATGGTCAGCCCCCCCTTTCTCCGTTCCTGTATCTCTTTACGCGTCTTGGCTTTCAAATTATTAATCTCAGCCAAGTGTTGTTGCACCAGCGTCTTTGTTTCCTCCCTTATTGACGCTATTTGATTCTCATACTGTTAATGTGAAATATCAGAACATTAAAAAAAGTTAATTAAAAGATGAGAGAATATAAGAATGTGAACTCAGTGAATTCTAAATTGTATTGATTAATGTGTGTGTTTCAAAAAATAAGATTCTAATACTGAAGAGTTTGTTTGTTTAGTCGACAAGCTAATCTCGGAAACTACTGGTTCGAAAAAAATCCTTCAGTATTGCATAGGGCCATTTATCGAGGACGTCTATATAAATCAAGCCATTACCAACAGGGGTCCAACATCAAAGAAAAATGTTGTAAAAATAAAAGAGACATACCTTATCTCTAGTAAGTTTCTTGTCAGCTTGGAAAGCCTCCTCCATTCGTGACTTCTCCTCTGTCAAGGCAGACAGTGACTGGCATAAGGGCAGCGACCCGAAGCAGCCCTTTTCTCATCTGTAGAAAGTTTATAACTGCCATTTACGTGACTGCAAGGATGACATAGTGGTTTAAGCGGGTAACTCGCCGCTTAGTACTGCAAGAGTGTTGTGAATTCAATCCTCAGTATCCCCCCATTATATGATCATGTTACATATAATGTTTTTAATACAGGATATATTCCTAAAAAATTTAAATGTAAGGTGTTTTTCCCAAGTACATAACTAATCTACTTTACAAGTGAAATTACTGTCATTGCTTATGAACAAGTTACATCATGCATAGTAAACTTAAATATATTTTTTATTAATTTAAATAACAAGTGCTATTGTTAAGTAATGACTATTGGTGTTAAGCATTTATGAATGAAACTAATAATGTTCAATGAGTAACTTTTATTTAATTTAAATTTAATATTTAATTAAAGTTAATAACTTTGAGTCTGTAATGTTGAGTAATATGAACATGCTACATCAATAATGTCATGTGTAATGTCATCAAAGTAATGTGTTAATCTGTGCCAATCGTTACGGGTACTTGGAGCCCTAGCTCTGACACAGTATCTACAACTTCGTTGTCGCCTAGTTCTTGGGTCGTGGAGTCTGATGACAGTCTCTCTACTTAAAAAATCAAGTCCAGCCGCGTCGTGATGGACTGAATGCCGACCCGAATCAAGTTTGGGAAAAAGACTAGGACGAATAAAGTTCGATATATTTGAACCGTAATTTAGATTTTATTGCTAAACCAACTTCTTCAGAGTGATTTTATTATATTTATCGTAATTGACAAATATGTAATGAATTTCATAACATTCATAAGCATTTTGAATGAAACTAATAATGTTCAATGAGTAACTTTTATTTAATTTAAATTTAATATTTAATTAAAGTTAACAACTTTGAGTCTGTAGTGTCGTGTAATATTTATTTATTTATTTATTTATTTTCTTTAAAAACAACTATTTTTACAGGCTTAGCCCAATTGCAATAGTGAATAATAATATGAACATGCTACATCAATAATGTCATGTGTAATGTCATCAAAGTAATGTGTTACATGTGTGGCAATCGTTACGGGTAGTTGGAGCCCTTTTTTTTTCCTCCGTGCGAAAATCCCCTCGGATACCACCGGCATGTCGGACTCGAACCGACTAAAACCGCACGCCGTCTCGGGGTACTAATAGCCGGGGAACCAGGTATACCCTAGAAAGGAAGTCCCTGGTGCATCGTAGTTGGAGCCCTAGCCCTGACAACAGTATCTACAACTTCGGTTGTCACCTAGTTCTTTGGGTCGTGGAGTCTGATGACAGTCGCTGTACGTAATAATCGAAGTCCACCGCGTCGTAATTGACTGAATGCCGACCCGAATCAAGTTTAGGAAAAAGGCTAGGACGTAGAAACGTAATTTAGATTTTTTGCTAAACCAACTTCTTCAGAGTGATTTAATTATATTTATGTTAACTCACTGAATAATATAGTAATCTAATCGACCGACATTTGTGAAATCTCTTTGTAAATTATTCAAGAACGCATTTAAAGTATGTTTCGCCCTTTAGGAAAAAAAACGTGGTGTGGTGACGGATTAAGTGTGGAGTGTCACCACCCCTATTCATCCCGTGGGTTGTCGTATTGAGCGACTACGGGAGCAAACTACGCAAGACAACAGCACTGCAAAGAGAAGAAAACTTGACACAAACCCTATACCAACCCGTCTGGTCAGCGTGGTATAGTAGGACAAAACCTCCTTTCTAAGGAGAGGCCTATGTCCAGCAGTGGACTATTAAAGGCTGATGATGAAGGTGAAAAATTTATCACTTGATTGCACCATTGATGATTCTATTATAATTAACCTCCACTGTCTTCGACACTTTCTGTCTTGTTCAGAGCTTTGAGACTGAATCTCCAACGCCTCTTTCTCTTTGATAAGACCTTTGTATGCTGTGACTACATCTGTAAAATAAATGGTAGATTATTGGTATGTGGACGTACTTATCTTGTTTACATTTCAAGGTGTGTTGGGTACAAGTAAATTAATTTTGCAAAGAAAACATAATTATGACACCCTTTTTTTCTTTTTTTCCGTGCGGAAATTCCCTCGGATACCACCTATCGGTGGCATGTCGGGACTCAAACCGACTAAAACCACACGCCGTCTCGGGTACTAATAGCCGGGGAACCAGGTTATACCCTAGAAAGGAAGTCCCTGGTGCCAACTTATGACACCCTGTAACACAAAGAAATTTATTTAGCCTGTTAGTTATGAAAAAAAAATATGGATAAAGAGTAGTTTGATAATGATGGCTTACAGGACAACATTACTTTAGGAGGAATTTAAAGAGACTATGTTCAGTAAGTGATATAATGGACATGGAAAAGGTATGAAAGACTGCATTGAAAGAGACCTTGATAACAACACACAAGTTGACCAGATAATCCTAATGGAATTGTAACCAAGGATTAATTCATGAGCAATTCACGCAATCTTAAAAGAATTGTGATTGATTTTTAATGCCATTTATTTATTGTCTATGTTTCTCAATAATCTATAGTTTTCTGTGAGCTCCTCTGTATTAATAACTGTAATAGCCACTGTAATAGTGGCGTGCGATGGGAGAGGCCTATGTCCAGCAGTGGACTATGATAGGCTGATGATGATAATGAATAGTCACTTAAATATATTATTTTTATTTACATATTGATTAAGGGAAAGTATATTAACCCTGTTAAAAGTAATTACGTGTTATAAATCACGTAATGATTTACGATGTACATTACACTTAAATCATTGTCGGCTTATCTCTTATCACTTTAATCTTTTCTTTAATGGTATACTTTAGTAAATGATACATATACAACCTTTTTCACATTGCATCAAGTCTGTGATTGTTGGAAATCACTAGAGCAGATAAAATTTAACAACAAAATATTGATTAGATTACCTAAATCAGGGATGCTAGAACTATTTTGGGCAGAGCCCCTTTTTCAAATATGAACTTATACCTCAGACCCCCATAGCCAAGTTACTACTTGCTACGTGCTTATCAACTTGTTGAGTTTTGAAAAGTACAATAATGATACTTCCTAGTAAAATATTAGTCATTGTTATAACAAGTTGGTACACGTAACACAACTAATACAGTATCCTGAAAGTTTCAAATGAGAACTTGTGTTAATTAATAGGGGTCGATTTTCAGACCTCGTCAACACAGAAAATCAGTTTTCGTTTACGTCGCCCCAGGGGTAGATATCAACCACTTTGGGAGTCTCTTGTTAATTTTTTTTTATTGTTTTTATTTAGCTTATATTGTTAAACAAGTTAAAGTGCAAGTGGTGTTTGCTCATAAATGGTTTTACATTTAGAATTTTTTTTGATTGTTTTTATTTCTTATTTTTTTATTACATTGTGAGCATTTAAGTGAATGAAAAAAAATATCACAACTATCATCCAGTATACCACTAACAACTAAAAATAAATAAGGAGAGGAAAGAAGTTATGGATATTCTCATTTATTCTTCTCAGCTTCAGCTTTACATAAAAATGCTTTACAGATGCAAGACATTAGTGAAAATGTGTGTGAACCATCAAGCTATTAATAAAAAATTGTATTTGAAGTTCAAAACGGTTTTTAACAAGATTCCAGATAGCATTGGCAACTAAAATTTCCACTTTGTTACTGTGGCTTTCTTTGATTTTTTCTTTTCTTTTTTCAACATGCACTTTTTTTAAATTATTGCCTTTTATAATTTTAGAGTTTACAGAGTTTTCAAATATATATTGGAATAAAGTTCCTTATCGGGTGCTACACAAGGAAGTGAGGGAACAAGACTAAAAAATGTGTAACAAGACTTTTGTGTGACACTTTAAGTTTAAAGCAGACTGTATAGCAAACATCTACCAAAAAGCGAAAGGAACTTCCTTCCGACCGGGGGCCCATAGACCCTTCACATGGTTTTTTAAATTAAATGTGTTAGTTTGGACTGAAGTACTGTACTCTTTATTGAATGCTACAAATAAAAATTATTTTTCACAAAACCTATGCTGTAATAAATATGGTAAAAATAATTTATCACTTAATTAAATTACGTTGCCTTCTGTAGATAACAAGCCAAGGACATCTAGATATTTTGGAAGTATACTGGGTTGTAACTTTGTTTTGTGAAGTTTTCAATGTATCTATTATTTCTTAAATTTAATTCATATTTGTATGAAGAACTAAGGGTAAAATACAGGTTTTGAGTTACACATAATCAGATTATTGTAACGCATAACATTAACATCTGGAATATTAGGTCAACTGAAAATGTTGCATAAATTCATGAACGAACGTTTATAGAGACTGTACAGATTGCCTACCTCTGAGCCGTCCTTCATACCGCTTAATTTGATCCGCTTGCTTGGTAATTGTCGATATAAGTTCCTGTTTCGACAAAGATTCCATTTTTCATTAAATTTGGTAGCACTCGATTTTGAATATATTTCGTTGCTCGCTGTTGGTTCCGTTTTTCTAGATGGAAAAGCCACGTTACTATGTGCTAAGCATAATAGCTATGGAAATTAAGGAATCTTCTAAAGATAAACATTTCAATTTTTACTGAAGATCTACAATTTGTTATTATTTTCTTGACTGACGTACGTAACAAGACAATGACAAATAAACTGACAGTACATGTCAAGTTACCTAACCTACTTTTACTCACAGTCTCACGCACAAATCTACTATAAAAGATTTCAAACACTTTTTTCTAAAGTTACGTTTATAAAAGTTTCATGTTCAAAAATCTATAAATGATATTCCCATAAAATATAATCTCATGTTAACATTATATTTTTAAGTTCCTTTTTATGGGCAAAACCACCCGCTGAATAACGAATTAAAATTTTATCTCGGCGAACAGTATTTAAAGACATTTTTTTTAATATTCGCCTTTTTCTATTTGTCCGTCTCTTTTTAAGGAGGGCGATAGTTTCAAGTTAAAAATATCCGTATTTTTATAGTTTTACCTTTTCGACTCGACGTCGACGACACACGAGGGATGGTTATTGCTTAACTTCGGTGTTTTTTGAGGCCGTGGGGTCAGTCCGTTCGAACCAGCTTAAACGCGTGAAAGTATGGTCATTGTTTGAAGACTCCTTTAAGTTCCATTAGGTTCCACTTTCCATACAAATATCGGGTAACTTATAAACTACTCATTTTTAATTAACTATGAAAAGATTCTATAATTCTGTTCTAAAATTGTTACAATAATTATTGTAACAAGCTAACAACAATTATTAAGTGTATAACAAACAATAATTATTAAGCGTGTCACAATAGTATTCTATTTTATGTTTAAATTAAAACACTAAAACAAAAAAAAATGGTACTTACCTCACAGTAATACGAGCAAAATTATGGACCAGTTCAATCCCCGCCGACGAATTTAGTCTGAGCTTTTAAAGTGCCTACGCGTACGTATCTACTTTTAACGGTCGAAAAACGTCCTCATAATATACAAATGCAGGTACTCTGTGGAGCCACAAGTACGCGTACTTACAGTACTTACTCAAACGTTTGTCAGAAATTCAGAATGTCACCCTCTTACCCTTTGTTTTATTGTATTCATGTACCTATTTATTGAGAGTCTTTTACATCATAATTTATACCTATCTGCCTTTTAATAGAAGATTGAATGATCAGCGACTACGTAAAAAAAATTAGATAAGCAACTAAATAGCCAAATTTTTTTCTTAAAACTGGTAAAAATGCCATAATATACATTGGTAAAAACATGAAGGTCTTTAATAAATAAACCCAAATAAAAATTACATTGGAGACTACGAGACAGTCAAAGTATTGATTACTCTTGTTATTTTTAACAATTTTGAACAATTGAGTATTTTTTGGCATTAGGTAGGTCTCATTCTAGTCGTGTGCGAGTACTTATTATTTTTACTCTAATTCTATACAATATCTTGACATGGCGTATTGTATTTCTCCATTTATAGTTGACTTCTAAATTAATCACGATTATATTCAAATTTTAAAAACAAAACATCGTTCAGTTGAGATAACTCTTTGTTCCTACGAAATAGTAGATTATTTCTTTGTATTTATATCAAAACAATTTACAATCATCTAATTTACTTTTAATCATGAAATAAGTCCCCACCTAACATTACAATTATGTACCGTCATCTAAGTCACCCACCTACATGACGGATCGATGCGTTTATGTTATGTTATAGGTTATAAAGAAATCTGTAGATTTTTATATTAGAAATATAATGTAGGGAAGGAATAAAAGTATTAGGTTGTAGTCATTATAGACGATAAATCATTTATACACTACCGCCTTATATTAAGTTAATATATCCAATATGAAATGGCGAACGGTTCATTGCCATAAAAATTAATGCAGGCGACGCCATGTACATGGTCGAACTCCTCGTGCAAGGTCATTGACCGCAGATTTAAAAATGGGGTGCACACCCCCTATTCTAATTAATGTATGTCCATGTTGCTATAAACACACGCTACATCCAAATGTGTTCTATCTAAATTGTTATTTTTCTTTACATCTGGGTCAAAATCACCAAGGTGGAAAATTCCGAGTTCTGTTTTATGATGAATATACTTAACAGCTATTACTTTGATAATGAGCTTAGATTATCACTAAACTTGTGTTTCAACAATATGTACGTTGGCAGAGCATAGAATAAAGTACTACTCCTGTAATTTTATTTTTAAATTGAGCTGTCACTGAAAACAATCATTCCGGGAACGTTTTTGTAAGACTTATAATAAAATTAAAATATAACTTAACTATTTCTCTTGACCCTGTATATTAGCGGCAGTAAGCATTTATTAATAAGAAATTAAAAAGCTCAAAAGAAATTGCAAAGAAAAGCATTTAGAAACAAAATATTGCTACAAATGGAGCTATTTCACTATTTCCTTATATAAAATTATCTGAATATGCCATATTTGGTGACTTATATTAAAATAAATAGGCTTACGATATTAGAAGTTCGCCTTATTTTAATATTGCCAGTGACTTTTTTAATTATCTAAATTAATAATGTGTTATCTGTGATTTTAGTAATGTTCCCGAAAATGATGAGGTGTTCACGAAATGATGCACGTGTTCTTTAAATGACGTATTTCGTCATTTAGAGAGTTTACTATACGTCCAAGTAGCTTTTGTTATCTATTTGAGTCCATTTATTAAGGTTTGTAGCCAGATATGTATATTAGTTCAGCTGCCGTATAGTGATGTTGGACCATCAGAGTAGATATGAAGGGTGTTCATATCTTTTTTTCTAATATTGTTTGTAGGATTGCATTCATATGAGTCCATATCACATGGGCTTGATGATCCAAATTTTCACTTACGGTAGCAAACGATTTAGGTTGTAAACCATACTCAAAATTTCGTATATATAGACAATTGTTTTTTTGCAAAATGAGTCTAATGAATTTCATTTGCGTACTTGGTTGTGTAATTCTCCGAAACGTCTATCTGTATCATTACCTCTTCTTCAGGTTAATTTTCTTTTAGCTCTTTTTTCAGTTTGTTGTATCTGTAGATGACATACAGATGTTTTTTCATAACTGGAATATCTTCAATAAAAGCCATTTTTAATTCTTTGATTGTACTTGACATTGCAACCTTCTTTGTGATCTTAAATTTCTTATTCTCGCCTTTTACAGTTTTTTCTTTAATAACACAAATCCATTGAAAATATGTCACAGAATCAGTATTATCAGCTAGCTCAAACATTGGATGTTTACATTTATCACACAAACCATTCATGCAGTCATAAGATGTTATATCGCAACTATAATACTCAATCATTTTCTCAACACTGCCGTGATTAATCTATTGTAAATATTTTAATTCGTTCACTTTGAACTCAAAGTCAAAAGAGAGACAGACAGAGAATCTTGTGTTAAAGTCAAACTTTAACACAAGATTCTCTGTCTCTTAATTTTGGAGCTACTACCCAAAATGGTTTTACTATTAATAATGTCGCATAAGAAAAAAATATTCCAGTTTCGCTAATGAATTTTGACGTCAGTTCTTTAAATGAGAATAGAAGGAGACTCTTTTGTTTGTTAATACCGTTTTTCTTTACAAAATCTCTCTTGGCTGGACACATCCTACTGACATCATCTCCTTGGAAGAAATGTTTAACTTTTTGCCAAACTTCAGGCTTCAAAACAACCTTACGAATTTTGGTATCAGACTTCAGAATCGATGTACTGGTTCTCTCTCTTGGCAGAAAACTCTTAGCCATATGAAGTAATTTGTATTTCCTCACCATATCACCGCTAACACATTTCTGGAAAATTTTCCCTCTCTTAGGAATATTTTTTCAAAGTAGTGGATTTTTCTTTTAATTGTGTAGTCAGTACTTCGTTAAATATTAGATTCTTGCGCACTTCAGGAGGCGTGTTGACATTTTTATCATTACATCAACTTTACTGTTAGAATTACTTGGTACCTGAACTTTCTCCTCTTCTCTTTTAACTTTTCTTCTTAGTCTTTTCATTAAAGTTTCATATTTACGTTTAATTTCAGCAATTGTTTTCTCCGTTGTTTTATTTTACGGTACGCTTAAGCTCTATCCTTACGCACAATTTTTCTTTCCACTGTACTTCTTACTGAAGGTGTAGCAGCTAAATCATCATCTGAATGTGGTGGAGAATTGTTTGTTATACTTGATAATGCATTGTTCTTCTCTCTGTATTTTTTTGATGCTTCTTTTCAAATTTTCCCTTGCTTTCGCTTTTCTCTGTGAGTCATATATTTAACTTTCTTTTCAGCTTTTTTTTTTTGATAGTAAGCTCTATCCTCGGCTCTTTTAATTTCTCTCTCTTCCTCTGTCATCTTGTCTAAAAATTTCCTTTTTCTGGCATTAGCTTTTTGTTGTTGGCGCAAGTAAGCTGAACTATTTTTGTTAAGGTGCTTTTTCGAACGTTTTTTATTTTTTGAAGCATCATGAGACTCCATATTGCTAAAACAAATGAAACATTTATCAAAAACTACGTTAGCACAATATTCACTAAATTAAATAACCAATAGTTGTAACAGATGCCACTTTGATAATGAAAAAGTCATTTCGGGAACGTCATCATCACACAGAACATATATACCCCTAAAGGGGAAGAATAACGACTCCATACTATTTTTATGAGGAAATTTTTCCTTACCGGCCGGCGCCATCTATGCTCCGCCCACCAAAACTAGACAGTAGAAGCTAGGGCGGGAATCTCAAAACAGATACTTTGTATTGCATTTTATGCACAAGTACAGTGCGTTTCTCGATAGTGTTCATCAAGATGGTCAATTATTTCTCAGCAAAAACAATTGACATCTAAACGACATCACTATCGAGAAACACACTGTACTTGTGCATAAAATGCTGAAAGCAATATTTATGGAACAGTGTAATAAA